GGTGTCGTCTTGGTTTGGTAGCGGGTGGACGTCTTCGTGTATTCGCACGGAGACGTGCCGTTCTGGGCAATTTCTGGATGAACGGTGGGGCTACATCCACCAAGCAATAAGTAACTGATTTTTTTTCTCTGTTAAAAATCCCTTAAGGTTACATCAGGAATTGGAGAGGAAACATGATATGAGGATACAAGGGTAGTTCAGGAAGTACGTTAATGATCTTCATCAAGAAGGACACTTCTCCTCGTTATACAACGTCGGAGAACAGGTCGCCTACACTATAGGTGTTTCCCTTTTCCAAAGCCATAAAGTGTGTGGCCGTTGTTGAAGGCCTCCTACCAATCCATAGCGATGGATGGGTCAGCCCCGGCCGACTGCATTCATTACCAGTTTAGCCCATTTGGGAGTAGTTAAGCATTCTTTTGAAAACTGATTTTAATTTCCTCATAGCACATCCGTTTTTAAAGTATTGTCAGAATACTTTAGAGCACATTTTTGCAACCTAGATTGTTCACAAACCTTTCATGTCAGCTATTTCACACGCTTTACGTGAAGCCATTTCCAAAATATAATTAAGTGTGTGGAGGCAGTCCCAAGCCAAGGATAAGCAGGTTGAGGTTACTGTACGGGGTGCACATCCTTTCCTGTCAACAGTATAATCCAAACCAAAAGTGGTTGACTGCCTACACTGTGTGGTGTAGTTGGTACTGCATTAGCTGAATGGTATTTGAAACTTTATACCGTAAGAATATAAAGTCAAAGAATGCTTTTTAGAAAAATCTTGAAGGTTTTAGGATGTCACAAATATTATTTTAATTTTCTGATGACCATCACTGTATTCATACAATGAAAAATCAGTGAGTGAGACTCAGAAGCTTTATTAACTTAAACTACCTCAGATTTTTATTTATTTCTATTGTATTTGTATATCCAGTCTGATTTATTGTGGCAGATCTGTAGAAAATCCCACAGTTCCCCAAGAGTGTGACCAAGTTACTTCACTGTTAGGTTACACAGATTATTCCTGCCTAGCTTTGAATATCATGGGTCTACATTCCCTTTTTGCATGCTTTCTGCAGTATTCTAGAGATTCTCATTTACGGAAAGAAGCTTTTTTCTTTCAGTAGATTGACCTTAACTGCTGTAAACCTATTGTAACACTTAACTGCCGTGGAATTCAGGAGTGCTGTGGTATAATGTCGCCTATGAAAGAAATTCAGAGCACTGGGGAAAGAACTAACTCCAGTGCCATGAAGACCTGTGGAGCTGATTTATTAACTTAATTTTTACAGATGGAGAATGGATAAGAAAAGGAGTTTTTACAAGATTACACTGCAAAATGGTAAAACAGGGTTAGAAATGGGGTATTCCGATTCTTCGCCATTGGCTATAATCCCTGGGTGACAGTGGCATTTGCAAACAAGCAAGATGTGACTGGATGTCTTGTCACACGCTACAGTGAGCCTTCTATGGGCAGTTAGCCACTCAGATTACAGTGCCCTTCTGGTCATCGATCAGTAAAGGAGCAGTTTTGCAAATCAATGTTTTCTTCCCTGCAGACTACAAAAATCCATTTGTGGAGATGCACCCGGAACATCCTGAAATAATCTACATTTTAGATGCTAAGAAAACGGTTGTTGTCCCTTGCCGAGTTACCTCGCCAGATATCAAACCCAAGCTTATCCAGGTAAGTGACTGTTTCAGAGAAACTCAAACAATTCAGAGGTCTGGGCTGCCAACACAATGGGTAAAAATACAGAATAAAATCTATGAAGCTAGGTAAGTTTCAGAAAAAAAATAGCAAAGGCACTGAAAATCCAGAAGCACAGTCCTGCTCTTGCAGTGTATTACTACTGAACTGTGTACAAGGGTGTTTTGGGGATTAGGCTGAGTTTATCACATATTTTTCTCGTCTTGTGCCTTGGTGTTCCTCCATGAATTGGCAAAGAAGACAAGGCGCTATTTTTCTTCAGAATTCTTTGTATAACACCTGGCTATTAGCTAGCCTCATGAAAGCTTCTCTCTTTTATACCTTGAACCGCCTCAAACGGTTGCCCATTTCTGCTTGATTTCATAAATTTAAACCAAGTTTCGGCCTCAGAAATAAATGGCTACAGCATCCATCCCTTTGGCAGCAGTTACATCTGAATGTCAAGGTTACAGAGTGGTCTGTGGAGGCGAAGGCCATTTAGTATAACACAAATGGAAATGTAAGGTCTGGGGCTTCCTCAGTCAATGGAGATCTAGTCACTCATTTGAAGGGCTTTAGAATTGCTCTGTAGAGAAGCCTACCACGGAACATAGGTCTCCTGGCTCCAATCCTGCCTTTTACCTAATAGGTTATGTGCCTTTCCAGTCCCCTGCTAGGCTGACTGCTTGAGCTGTCCTACTGGAAACAAGAGCTGATCCTCTGCCCCTGCCCCTTTTCCACAGCCTGTTCTGAAGGAGCTGTGAGAGATGAGGTTGTTCTGCTGGATATGGTGTGATAGCGGAGCACATGCAGATAGGCTGATGCTGTGCTGGTAGAGGGGTCTGAGGACCTCTGCTCTTCTTAGCAGTTAGATGCCTTAGTTGTTAGATGTCTCCTTCTCCTGGGAGACAGCACATGAAATCACGGAGGCCTGAGACTGTGCTCCGGCTCCTGCTGAGACCAATGGCAAATTTCCAGTAGACGTGCAGAGGGACAGCACTAGCCTTATTGCTTTAGCAGACCTCTATTTTTAAATTTTGCCAGTAGGGATTAAAAGGGGGGGGAATAAGGCTCCTCTCCAGTTACAGCTTATCACTTTAGCCTGGATAAGTGTTATCACCTTCTCCTTGGCTATAAAAATGGAACATCCCCATCTTGTTTTAGCCTACTTCAACCAAATTCAATTGCTGGAGTACTGCTGCTGACTTTGGCACAGTCACATGAGCCTAAATGTGGCCTTGGAACCTCCACCAAGCAGACCTCCACATTTATTCCCTTATTTACAGGCAGCCCTGCTCTCCCTGCTTGCCAGCTAAATTCTCTCCCAGTAATTTCTTCAAACACAAACTGAAATCCTTTACCTTGCTGCAAGCTGCTGCTGGAACGAAATCTCCACTGAAATCTCCCTTTTGAATTGCAAAGAAAGTTGTCCCCAAAAAGATTTTTCCCCTTCAAGGGAGAGCAGCTGGACTGCAGGGCAGGGATGTAGATGTTGAGTGCCGGTCCCCAAAGGAACCCTCCTGAGGCTGTGAGCTGTGAGTACTCGAGAGGATGCGTTTTGGGAGGCGTGTGTTGGCTTTGGGAGCCGCCAGCCCCGGGCTCCATCTGCGGAAAGTCACCGCTTGTTTTGCCCTGTCTGGGAATTTCATAGCGCCGTGTGGAGCCAAGGTGGCGGCTTCCCGTGCGAAGAGGAAGCGGGGCGGGAGAGGGGTGGAGGTAAGGATGGGGGAGGAGAGGTGAATAAGGCAATCAGACAAATTTAGAACATCCTCTTCTTCCAAATTTAATCTCCAATATACAACGAACTTCAAAGGGAGGAAAGCCACTGTGATTTCCTTCAAGCAGCATTGATGCTTTTTGTTTGATTTTTTAAATATATATTTTTGAATATTTTATGAAGACGTTTAATATGTGTGTAGTGTTGAAAAGGGCCTCCTGAGTAGGGTTATTTTCTCTTTCCCCTTCCCCTAGCCATCAGGGAGCAGAGCTGCCAAACCATGAAGTTCAGCTTTATCACATTTTATTATTCTTGTAGAAAATGTACTTTTTCCCATCGTAAATTAAGTTCCTTATGTTACCATTATACTTTAAAATCATTGCACTCTCTGGTCTTTAAATATGTATGGGGAAAGGTACCTCTTGCTAATACTAAACAGATCCCAGCTAACTCTACATATCATCTTTGTTCTTAATAAACCCATGCTAAGACACACAATTCAAACTCTTAATTTTGCTTAACGTGATTTTAATTCTGGGCAAAAAAAGCATTTTCAGTCTTGTCAGATCTGTTTAGCCACTGATCTGGTTCAGTGTGCATCTGCCACTTACAGCTTTGACCTTCATGGGTGTTAAATCATGATTAAGCCTCAGGTCCCAGATCCCTCTCTGTAATTTTCCTGATTTTTCCTGATGGTTCTGAATAGCTAGGCAACAGCTTGATTACTTTGAAAGTATTTACATGAAATCCATGTTTCCTACTACTGTCGGAAGAGAACTGCTGTTCCAAAAGAAAGCAACTGTCTTGCTGTGCCTCCTTCCCCACAGCAACGTCACCAGCCACTGCCCCACAGTCATAATTCCTTTGTCTTTGGTCTGTGCTGAAAATGTAATAACAAGCGACCTAAACCAATGCCAACCTGATCAAGTGTGTATTCATATGAGAGGTACGAGCATCAGCTCTCAAAGCCTGAAGCTGAAATTTCTTTGGAACAGGAGTATTATTTAAACTGAATCCTATTTAAACTGCACTGCCATACAAGACTACTGTTCGTTTGGAGACAGAAAAATAAATTGCATGCTGCATGACAACAAGAATAAGAGCAAAACTATTACATCATTGGGGAAATTCCCACTTGCAGTCCCTTGTGCAGCAATTCCCTTGGTTAGCTCCAAAAGCTGAAACAAGGTAGCTCTGAAAAAGAAAACATTAACTGGCCTCATCTTGGAGAATCCAGTATATGATAAGAAGGAGGAAGAAGCACTGTGCAAATAAAGTTAGTTATCATGTGGCAACTGTAGGCACACTGAGGTTTCCCCAAACCCTTCGGTTTTCAGCCAAAAGTGATCTCAGCACTCCTACAGCGCATCCTCAGTCCTAAAGAGCCTTCCTGTGTCCTGCTGGAAGAGTCAGCCCCACAGCCTGTGCTCCCATTCACCTGCCTGCAGATAGGCTGAAGTGGGCGAATTTCAGTGATCTGCTCTTTCGCAGGCTCCTGAGCTATTTGTCTGCATTTAATTTCACATGTTTCTTTTCTACATTATAACCCAGGATTTTCAAGAAGATTGGAAAGTAAATTGCATTTTCTCTAGCAAATAGAGGATTTCCTCATGTATTAATAATAATAATAATAATAAACTAATTGTTTCCACCAACAAAAGCTAACCTGCTTGACACTGGTGCTGTCCAAGGGTATACGGAGGGTTCATTCTTATTATAATAAACTTTGTTTCCACCAACAAAAGCTAACCTGCTTGACACTGGTGCTGTCCAAGGGTATACGGAGGGTTCATTCTTATTAAATGAATTTTTGCTCTGGTTTATTTTCCACATTTGCCTTTCGTATCTTCGCTTCTTCCTCATAAGCAGAACTTACAGATACTGTTTCTTCAAGAATCTCAGAACATTACAAGTATTTATGAATTTAGGACAAAAAATGCTTATGTTACTAAGTCCCCTTATTTCTGCCATCCTATGGTTTACCATCTTAAGTCATCCAGGCTGCTTCTGTGCCTAGTGGAAATCAAGAGGCTGCTTTGAAAGTGTCTCACCCCTTTCTGTGATATAGAGAGAATCTGATGACTAGTCGTAGACCACAGCTTATAGATGACTGCCATCAGGTGACATGAATAATTCTGATTTTTGGGGGTCTAACTTCACACATATTTTTAAAGCACTGTGGGATCCCAGGAAAACATGTGGTAGCTACATGTAGCATTAGGAGAACCAAATTTTGTTCTTAAACACTTCCAAAAATATTACCCTATAAAATTCATATAGACATATGATAGGCGTAATTATTTCCAGTGAAGAGATGAGGGAAATGGGACCTACAATGGTACATGGTATCTTGCCTAAGATCTGAGAGGACTGGGACTACTGAATCAAAAGCCCCAGTTATGATGTCCAAGTTTTGGATTTCAAAGAGAGTCATACCTTAGGGAGGGCTTTTCTATTTGCTTATGTTGATGTGGCTTAAGATATGTGTGGAATGAGACCACCAACCACTCTGTAAAGGTCAAATATCTTCCCTGCCTCTAAAGCAGAACAGCCTTGGCTGGTTGCCTCTATGGTCTGAGGGGAAAGGGAATGTCTCACGAGCCTCCTATCTGTCTGTTCTCTTTCAGTATCCTTCTTCTGTAGAGATGAAGTTCGAGAGGATGGCGTGGAACCCAAGAAGAGGATTTGTCATCCCCTCTCATTCTTTTATTCACTCTGGACTACTCACATGCACTGCAAATGTCAATGGAAGTGTGTTCACCTCCTATTACCTAGCACAGAGACTGGGTGAGTGACTACTGTGCGCCAAGGAATGACCCCAACGTTTCTATTTCATAGCTAAGCTCCTGGGTATTATTTCTTGGTTAGCCCCAATTATATTTGATATATCTCATTGGTATGTATCTGTAGCAAGTCCAAGCTGGAACACTGAAAGCAAACTCATTCTTCTCCTTTTTTCCTATTCAATAGAACTTGGATTTGATCCACTCCTGGTTTTGAAAAATTACCAAGTGTTGAGGTGGTACAAAATAGGAGTATTTTATTCAAACCCCACCAAGGCTTTGTTCGCTTGGATTGAGCTATATTTACATTAAAACAACTGCTGGTTTAGGATAAACCAATCAGTAGCTTTCTTTTTGCTTCTGGTCATTAAACACACAAGATCATGGTATAAAAATCTCGTTAAACTGCTAATTCAAATCTTTGCCTTTTTATATAGTTTCACTTGGTGATTTACTATACCCTTTCCCTTGTATTTACAGTTCAGAATTAAAATTTGAATTAGAACCAACTAAACATTAAATTTTTGAGTGCTGGGGATTTATATGAAGCCAATTAGAATTTATTTTTCCTTTGTTTTCAGTGTATGTTCTTTCTCTCCTCATATATTATATTTTTGACGGAGGAGAGTTTATTGTGACTTCATTCCCATTAGATCATGGCATCCTTCTATACAATTAGCACTCAGCTTTAAACAACAGGCTTGTAAATTTGTATGGCAGCCAAATAAAAGTCCTGTAAATCTCTCTCCCTCTCTTTTTCTTCATTGTTGGAGTGATTATTTTTTACTAGAATCATGAATGCAAAGCTAAAAAACCCATTAGGTCATCCCTCTCTAGCCCAGAAGGACACAGGCAATATCTTCCTCTATAATGTGTTACTGTACAGCGGTCAGCATAAACATGATGCAGGCTTATTACAGAGTTGATGTATTTAAGGCATCGGTAAATATATAAGACCAAGATGTGGGGATCCCATTCAGAAAGGAAAGGTAACTGGTCATCAGAGGGCGGGAGAAACATGTTTCATGTTTTACAGAAACTAATCCTCTCGCTGATACGCAGATGTTGAGGCACTCAACAGGATGAGTCACTGTTGAAAACTTTTTCTGAGAATGGCTGTGGAGCTGATGGGAGAGGGTTGGAGCCAAACACGGCAAATGCAAGAAAAGTACTTCATAAATTACTGTGTCCACGTGGTCAGTTAGTTTGATCGGCTCATGTTCAGGCATTTATACAACTGACCTAACGTTTCTGCTCTGTGGGCATTTCCAGCAATTTCCACAGAAATGACAGGAGAAGGTGAGGTGTTTTGGAAACTGTGAAAGGAGCAGATGTTGGAGAGGCAATCGGAGTGCGGATTCCGTCTTAAATGTGATTGATGCAGAGAGTGCCGCGTGGTTACGCCTTTGCTTTTTTCATTTCAGAGGGCAGAGTACAGAACCTGGCTCTGAAAGCAACTCCCAAAAAACTGCTGGTTGGAGAAACTCTCGATTTGGAATGCAGAGCAGAAACCTTCATCAACGGGCGCATTGAGCTCATATGGACATGTCCTAATGGAAGAGTGAGTTGATGAACATTCAGTATTCTGCTTTCATGCAGTCTCCTCCTACCCAAAAGAAAGATCTGTTCACAGGGCTGAGTAAAGCCTAACTACTACTTATTCTGAAACATAGCCAACCATTTGTAAGCCTACAATCGACTGTATTTTTAGTTTGGATGAATCTAAAACTTATCTGACCGTCTTGAACCTGCAAATTAAACTGCAAATCTCAGGCTAAATATACGCTTGCGAGAAAAGCCAGGAGTGCACGTTTCTTGCTGGGAAGAATAGCCACCTCATTTCTTCTGCCCTGTTTGTTGATCCCGGCTCACAGTGGCAAGTCTCAAAGGCAGCCATGAAGGTTGCAAGCTGTCAGCTTGCAGTTGTCAGCTGCTCATCCATCTTGGCATTTATTAAGTAGGAAAAAGTGAAACAAAAGCCAGTTGTATCTGCTGAAATTCCACCAAAGAATGAAATTTAAATTCTGAGTGTGGCTGCCTGAGCTTTCTGTGGAACGAAATACAAAAATGCCAAATTTGAAGTAGAAACATGTCAGAGACTGAGCATTTGCTTTGATGAACTAAAACCTTTCAGTTCTAAGGAAAAACAGAGGGAAGAAGGGGTATTTTCCAAATCAGTTCATTTATCTGAAATACTACTCATGGTTCTATTTGATGCTCGGAATTAAAATGATTGCTTTTTTTCTTTTTAGTTCAGCAAAATAGACATTTCGAAGAAGCATCTAAGCCTCTTGGAAAAGTGTAAAATGGGATTCCTAAAAATTGATTATTTTTTACTTATTTTGTTTACTTAAAGAAAGAATGTCTGATTTTGTTTTGGTGAAGAAACTACAGAAAATATAACATAGAATTTATACAAGTGCAAGCAATATGGTGTTACTGAATTTTGTTTCTTGAACCCCATATGATGGAAGAGAGTTGTTTTTCTATGAGTCCTCCTTAGATTTCAAACATTATAAATATAAAATTTCTTGGCCAAATCTCTGGGATCAAAAATCCTATCAGAAACGATAATGCTTTCTAGAACTCTACAGGAATTTGCACTGGCACTGGGCTGTCATAATATATTATATTTCTGTCATAATATATTTCTTTTAGAAAGTAGGAGGTTTTTAAGACAGAAAAATATTGCCTGTGACAAAAAAAACAACCAACCAACCAAAAAAACCCCCAAAACAAAAAACCAAAGCACAACTCTGACCTACAGATGCCAAGAGCAGTTTTGCACTGAGATCCCTGGGATTTGGTCCCTGAGAAGGGCTGATCCGTGATGCATCCCTTTATTTACCTGCCTGCCCAGATTTCAGTAGAGAAGCACCACAGTTCCACTCTGTTTCTCTCTCTTATTAGACTTGATAATGAAACCTCACACAAGAGCTCTTCCTGCTGATTTGTCTTTTATATTATTTATTTCAGTGATGGGGAGATAGGATAATTTTTATATGAATCACTGCTTTTCTTTACTGGCAGACTTTGAAAGGATTAACAAAATAATCCGGTTTACGCTGCTTTTTGACCCCCTTTTTTCTGACTTCCAGCACCCTTATCCTAGAAGAACAATAGACCAGAGTGGCACGGTGTATAAAGTTGGCAGTAGCCTGAGGATTGAAAATGTCACCATGCAAGACGGAGGCCTGTACGTATGCAAAACATTCAACGTCACAAGGCTGGAGGCCAATGTCACAGTTACAGTGTACGGTAAGTTCTGCAGCTAAACCAGAATACCCAAGAACCAAGATTGTTAAGCTTAAAGGATAATGCCACATTGTTAAATCTGTTGATATGCAGATGGCATTAGGAAGAATGCCAATTAGTTAAAACAACCATTAATCACCTATAATCTCTGATCAAGCTATGAGAGAGTCAGCACCCAGCACTGTGCTTTCAAAGAAACTTTAGAGAGCTCAAGACGGAGACCTGTCTGAGGATATGGATTAAGTGGGAGCTGAACTGTTTTGCACAAGCTGGCACCAAGCGTGGTTGCTTGGTGCCCTGGAAAATCTGGCCTACTGGCATTCACATGGAGAATGTGAATCTCCATGTGAATGTGAATCTCCAAGAGATACCTCAGGCGTTTTTACACACTGCTCCAGGGGCAATGCAGATGCATATTCTCTGCTTTAAATATAAAGTGCTTCATGTGGAGATAGACCTTCCTGGCTGTGGCTGAGCTTTGCAGGGGAACTGGGGTAACAGCTTGTCATTCCATTTTCGTTGTCTGCAGCTTCTGCAGATCTGTATTGCAAAAAATCCAGGGTAGACACAACACAATTCAATGATGTGAGGCCTGTACTGTGACAGATCTGCCATTACTTGTCCTCCTGTTCATTTCTCTTTCCAGACAAACCTTTCATTACGGTTTCACATAAGAAAGGGCCTTACTATGAGATTACATCAGGACACAAGTCACTGAAACTAGCTGCAAAGGTGGACGCCTTTCCTCGTCCAAGCGTCACCTGGTGAGTACCATCATCTTGAGCAAAATCAGGAATACGCGACCTTCTTTTGGGCTCCTGTCTAGAATAGATTTTCACTGTTCCTTACCACCTGGATAAAAGATGAGAGCTGCGAATGCTCATAGCTGTGGTCTTCACAGTTCAGCTAAGGAGATGTGACTCCTTTCTGTGCTGACATATGCTCTGTGAAGCTGGGCAAGCCATACCTCTTTCCCATGCTATTTTTCTCTCCTAGTCACGCAGAAAAGGTCCCTACAGGAAAAATGGGGGTTTCATTTACCCTGGACGCGGAACTGTTTGGAAGATTCAAGTAGAAAGCTATTGGGGAAGGGTTGCCAATTTACCAACTTTAGTGGTGGTCAGTCTGCAAGGAGGCAGTGCGTAATAGAAAGCTGCAGGACACATTCTCAACATGAGAAATTGTTTCTCTTTATAACTTTTAAGTAATTTTCTCCAATCCTGTACCACCAGCAATGTCAGATCCTTGCAGACAATACAATGAATCCTCCCGAGCAAACTAAAGGCTCCATCAGGACTGTAATGGATCAGCTTAATAGGAGGGGCAACATGTCAGCAGCTCCAGGAGACATTCATTTCTTTCTTTACCCTTTCATCCCTTGTCCTCTCTCTTGCTACTTTTTCTATGCTTCAGTCTACGGGGCATCTTTAAAAACCCCACCCAACACCTTATACATCTTTAACTGTATGAAATCCCATACAACAGCTGGCATGGGTTTGCCTGTCCTGGCAGAGAAGGTGGCTTGGGTGACCTGCACAGTGCACTTTTCCTTGGCCGGCTGAGTGCCACTCAGGGGGGCCTGGCAGTCAGTGAAAGGTATAGGTCAGGGATGGGTTTGCTGCATATTTTTTAGCAGTCAAATAACATGAAATTCACTAATACTCAGTCAAATCAGTGCTGCCAGGAGATATTTTTAATTGCTGCTGTTATTGAGGAGATGGAAATGTTTTTGTGAGTTGAAGTGGGGACCGTCCCCCTTTTCTCTGCCAAGGCTTTGTTCTCGGGGCTCAGCGTGGAGCTGCTTGGTAGCTGCCTGGGACCACCAGAGCTGCCTTCCCCGCATGTTCGAAGCTACAGCTGTTGATGTTGGAGGTCTCTCAGTACAGTTGTTTAAACGACTGTAAAGGAGGTTTCCAGCATTCTCAGGCAGTAGGACACATGCCCCAGCTTCTCCTTCCACCAAGCCTAAAGCTCTGTGTGTGGCGAAGTCTGGCCTATTTCATATTCATAACCCAAATCTGCATATCAGATTAGCAGTGAAGAGGAGTCTGCTCATGCAGACTCTGCTATCCTACTCTTAGCTAGTGAAGATTCAAGATTGTGGATTCCTCACTGACCTTTCTATTGACTGTAAATTCTCCAGGTCACAGACTTCAGCTTTTTCAGAAACAGTAAAGGGTCACATATACATATCGAAAGACAACTCTGCTTAATTAATATCTTGCTTTAAAACCGATGACATAAATTTTGGCTAAGCCATTATTTCCTGCACTCAGTATTGCACATCCAGCATAATTTGGGGGCTTCTAGATGTACATTTCTGATCATAGTTAAGCATGCGAGAGGCACTGTTCCTTCAGATCCATTAAAATATCTTTTTCCTGTTTGTTGGATGAAGCCATCCCAAAGCGCTGCAGATGCTACTCAGTTTTAGTGTGGAAGGATAAAAGGAATAGATGTCCAATTCGAGCAGTGATTATAGATCTGTGTTTCCCTTGCTGTTTCCGAAGGATGACTCTTTACTCACCCTAATTTGGGTAACAGGTTTTCTGAGGGCTAACTTGCATGCATGCGCACACATGATGAGCCTCGATGGGACTTTCAAAACAGGTACAAAGATGGCAGACTGATCAAGGATAACCACACTTGCTATGAGCCGGATCCAATGAAGTACAGACTGGGCATAAGAGACGTGAGACCAAAGCACGCTGGAAACTACACCATCGTCTTGAGCAACGCAAAATACGGCCTGTATAAGAACCTCACCATGCAGCTGGTAGTGACAGGTAAGGACTTGATGTTTATAATGACTTCTGCTGGGTTCTTTCTCATTTTTTGTGTGATCCTACTTTAGCAGTCAGAGGAACAGGTGACATTTCCCCATGTTTAGCTGATATGAGCTGATACAGCACTGTGCATAGGTTACCACCTTACTTAGGAACCACTGAAGATCCATCTCATTTCACCACATGTTAAATTGAAGCAACAGAATGGAGAGCTGCTACGAGGAGTTAGTCTGAAACTAGGTCATCTAAAGTCACTTTCCACTGAGATACCGCACCTCAGAAATAGCCCGCAGCACCTTTGTGTCGGGACAGTGTCTCCGCAGAGGGAAGCAGAAATGGCTTGAACAGGAACAAACTTAACAGGACTTAAACTTTAATAGGAGTTCGGGAGGATATCTAGTAGTGAGGTCTTAGAGCTAGGGGCACAGTTTCCCAAGAGAAGTGATGGAAGTTTTATCCCTTGAGATTAAAAAACCAGCTTGGGCAAAGCACTGGAGAACATCTGTTGGGACAGGAAAAGGCTAACAGAAGGAACTAGATAAGCTACCCTGTCTTTTATGTCTCTCCATCATCCTGCTACAGAAATACTTTCTAAGTCTGTATTTTATGTATTGTCATTGATCTGCTGGGAGCACTTGAGAGACAGGTTCATTTTCAGGGGAATCTGGAGAAAACTGAAGTAAACCGTGGTGTGCATTGAAGCAGGTTCACTCGACATAGAGGGAAAATAGATATCGGAATCACATTTATTAATCTCCCTTGCTGGGATAATGGAAGACAGAGCCACATTTTCTCTTTGCACATCCACTGCCTCTTTTAATGCATTGAATTTGGCAACAGAGATTGACTCATGAGGCCAAGTAGGAGTTCAGCAAAAGTTAGCTCTGCTTCCCTTTGTGTTTCCCGAGGTTCACTCAGGCAGTGAGACAGATAAAGTTATTGAGATAGGTTTGCTTTCTTTTCTGTGGTGAGTTCTTTTCTCCTTATCCTCTTTACACCTAAAAATATTCTCAGTTGTCCTGGTTTGTATAGTTAAGTACTGTTGCATCATGTAACTTCCAGCATTTGTGTTTTTCTCACTTCACCTTTCACCTTGCAGAAAGGAATAATGCCTAACAAATGGAGAACTTGTCACTTAGGCACATTTGACCTGTTAATATGCTAAATAAGATATGGTAGCTTAAACCACCTAAAACATTACATAAATAATGTGTGATTTAGGAGTGGAGAGAGCTAAGAACATGCTTATGGTCAGGTACTGCAGCTCAGCTGATGAGCAGGAATGTGTTAAGCTGTGGTAACTTGTTCACTCAAGGTTGTTTATCCATACAATGGTTTTGCCGTCTTGTTAAGAGAACGGAAACATTCAAAGGAAGAGAAAATTAAGAATGATAATAAACTATCTTGTCAAGGTAAATATTGGTGTTTGCATGCAAAAGAGAATGTTTACTTGAAGAGCAGCCATTCCCCAAATAGGCATACAAAAAACAAACAGACCTTGTTTGCATCAGCAAGATGCTATTTCAGGATTAAACCATCCCATGCTCTTAACTACAGTACAAGCCTTTCATCTTTATTGTATGTACAAGTATGTGGTATTCTGTCTCTCACGCACAGTGCATGCCTAGCATGGTGCTCATTGTTAGCCTTTCTGAGAGATCAGCCCAACAAAGACTTCAATCAGGAATAATTATTTCATTGCAAAACCCATCATTTCTCAAGAGTCTGCAAAGTCCAGCAGCTGCAGGAATGTTACCGACTGGAGAAGGTGCTGCATGGTGAAGCACGGGAAAAATGAGCAGCAAGTGTTTCTTTTCTGGCAGAAGAAGGTCATCCCAGAAATGAGAGCAAGCAAAGGAAAATATCTGCCGAAGAGTGCCATTGTTTTTAAGCTAAAGGCTGCAAACAATGAGGATATTTGCCTTGATTCTAGACGGGACTGACACAAAACACCTAGGAAATCTCTTTTGCCTTTGCCAGGCTCTTCTCTGCAGCACTAACCTGACAAGCTGTGCATGAAGCGCTCAGCCCAAGGAGAGGGTCATTTTGCTGAGGTGCATGTGGGTAGAGACCAAAAAAGGCAAATTTTGCTGTTGAAGCTTATCCAACAGCAGCAAACTGCCTTTTTTCTTGTGCTTTCAGTTAAAGGGACTGCTGCTTTTTCAGATCTGGGCATCATTTGCTTTATTTTCCAAAAAAATTCTGAAGCTCCAAACTGAACACAGATTTGAATTTTCCCCTTAACTCCTCAACAAATAACCTGACACTTTATCTCCAGTCATCATGACTGATATCCTGGTATCTCACCTGAATAGATTAAATTGCTTGGAGTTTCAGCAGACGCTTAGACATGCAGAAGGAGGCCAAAACACTTTCTAGCTGTTTTATGCAGGGATTACCTTGCCCACCACTGAAACACAACCACCTCTGAGCTGGGAGGGGTGATTAATGTCTCCACTTAGAACCACAGGCAGTCTGCAATTACTGAAGCTGGAATTTGAACACAGGGATTAGCAGACTTGATGGAAAAAATCCTCTTGGGCTTGCAAGTGAACACAGTGGTAGGAGCATCAGTTTTGCGTCATGTCTAAAAGGTGGAGCCTGCAGCAATTCAGCACCCAATAAGCCTCGTGCTGAGTACATAACCATGTACCAGCTCCCTATTACTGAGAAGTAATGTTTCTTTTTGAGTAACAGCATTGCTCCCCAAAAGCCAGGGCCAGTCTTTTAAATTTCAGAGCTGCATCTGTGAAAGTGCATGAGTTCTGATGTATACTATTAAAGAGAAGATGGAAAATTATTTAAATAGACTTTTGAATGAGAAGATAAATGTCATCTGAATGTTTTCTTTTGCTGCAAGGTGACACTGCATTGAAGAAATTATAAGTAAGCGTACAGCCCCCTCTCCTGTGAGTCTCTTCAAACTATACATCGTTAATGTTCCTGAGCATCACAGCTAGTATAACTGGCAGTCAGCGTGCTGTGACAAACCCATCACTGTGAATTTGAACTAGGTGTAGAGGAAGTTTAAAGTTAATAGTGTTGTGAATTGTTGTTCACGAACAAAGTATAAATAGCAGCAGGACTCATTCATCAAATTGCACTATATTAATTTTTGCAGTGTATTTTGTTCAATAATAATGGCAGCAGAAGAGAACCCTTTAAGCAGGATGAGAACAAGATAAGAATTCATCTGCTTGAGCCCTGCAGGACAGGAGCTTACATGCAGTGTATCTCCTGACCTGCTAGAAGACCAGCACTGCTGCAGGCTTTCCTTGGAGTCACCTCTCGTATACTCAATTGGTAGCAATCACGGTAGTTCTGACATAAAGCATACACTGTACATGCAAGGTATTTCACTCCATGGTAATGAGTAAAATATTAGGAGCTATTTCCCCCCAAAGTTTGATATGGCCATAAAACTGATGAGTAGCTGCAGAGCGCAGAGGTATCAATCGTCTCAGCTCCACAGAGTCAAGAAGGAGCAAAATGGGCAAATAACCCCAGAGCTGCAGGGTGGGAACTGATAGCAACGCCAGCCCAAGGCGAAGACCTGGTTGACAATATGCAGGAAGGAGCATGCTGCCTGGCCTGGAGGAGAATCATGCTGCTATTCAAAAAATGTCTCTTTAGGAAGTGGCTTAGTTGTGCCTCTGGTCCCTCCGTGCTCCCACTGCAGCTGGAATTTAATCTTGCAGGAGCACATATCTCCCTTGTGGAGTCACCTTGGCTCATTGTAGGACTCAAGTCCCCAGGAGGTAGCTGATTGCATTTTCAAAACACTCCTTCTTTACATACTTACACATCAAACACTGTCCAAGAAGCGGCGGGTTGCTGTGTTTTTGTTTTGTTTGATTAAATTCTTATTGAGAAAAGCTTCAAGAAAATAATGTCCTGAAGAATTTGGAGGGGAGGGAGCAAGGAGAAGGAACAATCCTAGCAAACAGCTGGTGGCTGCACATCTGAGCCAGCCAAGAAGGAGAAATGTGGGAGAAAAAGAGTTATTTCGGGCTGGAGTACAAAGCAGTTTCAGAACAAAACATAAACAAAACCCCTCGAATCTATTTATGGGCAAGCAGGCTGCATTTCATTCTCACCCTTGTACAAGTCATCTGCATGTATCAGGGTTCTTGCTGAGCCCTTATGGAGCAGTCAGCATGCTCTCACCACCACGTTGTGAGTGAAGATTGTATTGAAGCGTAAGTTAATTCAAAAATGGGATGAATAACCTCCTTCACCACTTTGCCTTTCTTCTTTGTCCCAAAGTTTCTCTCCTGTGCTCCCTCAAGGCTCTTCCAGCAAATATTGCTTTGGGTTCCAGCTGCTCTAGTCAATTGAAATTACATTCCCTCGTAGAGTCCTTGATCCCCCAAGCTCTTGTGTTGTATCTATAAGAAATGCAGGATTAAGTGCTAGAAATAGCCTCTACCATAAGCAGTAGTAATTCACAGGCTCTTTATGAATTGCCTCTCTCCTGGGCAAGGACTGGAATAAAAGGGGTGCATGGAAAATTCACCTGTGCATTGCCCTGTGCTCCTTGTTAAGTCAGCGAGGTGACTGGCTATACCTCGATTTGTTACTAGGGGGAATTAGCTCCAGAGCACTTAATGATGCATATGTTGCCCTACTCTGTCTTCAGGCCAGCTCTTCATATTTGGTTTAAAATCAAAGGGAGTTCTGTGCCTAACCTACTTTGGCTTGCAAGGGATCAGTTGACATCGAAGGAGTCCCCAGTGATCTCCATAAAAGTTAATAAATATGCGGTGATCCATGTGAACAATACCCCATCACCTCAACCAGACCCAGAAATAGTCTGAGGAGGGAAATGAGCCTTCAGGATGAGGTTAATACATTTGGGCTATGCCAGTTCAGAGAAAAAGAGCTCTTAGAGTGATGGATCTCAATTAAAGCCAGCTGAAGACAGAGGGGAGACTCCCACAGTCTTCAGTGCATGGAAGGGCCACTGAAATCTCTAAGTTGGACACTGTTGCACTGTGAGA